AAAGGAATAATACATATCAGTAATGGTTTATTATAGCGATGTCTAACTGTATTTACATAGGGTTTATATAATGAAAGACCTATTGTGTAGAAATGAGTGCCGGCTTTTGTCATTATCAGCGATTCTGGCAATAATTCGCTCGTTTTAATTAAGTTAACCATTTTTATAATAAGTTTATAATAACAAACATTTAGTTTTGAACTAATATTTGCAAATATTTTATTGTTTTACAAAATATAATGATAAAAATTATTACGAAATATTTCCTTGAGATAATAATAAACCCAGATCATTAATCAAAACTATTTTCTTTTTTAAATATAATATTAAGATTGTCAGTTTTTTAGCATAATATATTATATTGTTTCTTCATTATTAATATAACTATTTACTGATCGAATATTTACCCAATGTAAATTTTTTAATTAATATACAGCGGTTGTATATTTAGCGGTTATTATAATGATAGACATTTGTTATTAATTATTATATTGATTTATAGTATCAAATCAATGATCTAATACAATGGATATTACAACCTGGGCCAAATTTGAATATTTAATGCGACCCTAGTGTTAAATTAACTTATTTTGCTAATAAAATTATTTGTGCACACTTAACAAAATAAAAATTTAATATTTATAACTAATAATGTATTAGATAATAATTTTAATGTAAAATTACAATTACTTATAAAGTTAGGTAAAAACTTTATATAATTTTCAATAGTCTCATCGGCGCCGACAGCCAGAGTGAGGGCCAGACCGAAGGGCCGGTCATAGGGCTGTCCACTCGTATTGTATGAAAGGTAATGCCTGTCATCGAGAAACCAATGGACACCCGATTCGCTCCACTCTATAGTATAGCTGTGAAAGTCTTGCAGTGTTTTGTTTGTCTGATAATACCATTCCTCCACATCTGCCGATCAATCGGTGACCAAAGCGTTGATTACCACACCTTTTGATCTGATCGTTGCTAACAATGTCTATCTGACCGCCGGTGCCGTTGCGCTCAGTTAGCGATATCACTGGTCGTAAGAGTTTGCCGGCGGGCAGAGCGGCCCTCAAATCAAACACATCGTAAGTCCAGTCATGTGTCGACACAACCGATGCCGATGTGTAGTCAGTGGCCGAGGGGTCGGTGCGGTACCGATCATTGTCGGTGTCCGGTGTCTCGCGTACGGCCGTAATGGCCAGACAGCTCTCCCGGAGCTGTAGATTTTTCAACGAGTTTGAGTCGCAGTGTAGTTGGTATTGAGGTTTGTCTTAATTTATGGTAATTTTATAGTGAGATTAGTGGTAGGGTTGTAGTGATTAGGTTTTGATATGACATACCCTCACACCTCCCGTCCCGCCATTTGTCGGCGATTTCCCACTTATTATTGTCCACTGAATTGCCGTTGAATTCATCACTCCATACGAGTTGCAAATGTTTGCCACAATTCACTGCATTTATAATCATTATATAAATTGTGGTCATTTTAAAGCACTTCATTATATTGTGATTTAAATAATTTATTTCATTATAAATTAAATGCGTTACTACATTTATTTATTTAGCACTCTTAATAAATGGATATAAAGTATGTTATAAATGTATTAATTTATATTAAATTTAATCATTTAATGTTAAGAAATATAACGGCATTA